TGGAAGTCAAACAACCTAAAGTCCATTAAAGCAGAATCCAAAAAGTCTGGTGGCCCAAGCCAAAGGTCATCCATTATTGATCATCTTGGTAGATGAATGACCAGTTAGTTAGTTCAAAGTTTCTATCAAGATTACGTTCAGAGTATCATCAAGGATGGAATCACCAGTGAATTCCCACGACCATCTACCCGGAGAGACAGCAAGCGACAATAAAGTACAAGATCATCCCATTTTCAAAACACAAGCCATGTAAAAGAAAATCACAAAAAACAACAACATTTGTTTAGGGAGATTAAAATAGATTAGTGAGTTTCTGGCAGTGGTTGATGGATTAGTAAGTTAGAGAACGTGGTAGTCGATTTGTCTGTTGCTTCAATTTCCTGAATATTGATTCTGTGTTTCGACGAGATACGAGAAAATTGACAAGAGGAATTTATATCGATATATTTTTATTCATAAGGTTAGGCTTACCGTTATTTCATGAAACCATGAAAATGTAGAACTTTAATCGAATAAAAAAAAAAAAATCCTTTATCGTTAAGTGGACTGGACTGTGCTTTCTTCTTTTCATCGAATAATTCAAAAACTCCACAAATATTAGATTTTACTCCTGTATAGTTTTCTAAATCTGACGCAGGGTAGTTAAATTTTATTCGAAATGTTGCTTTCAGCTAAATAAATTCGTTTTTTTTGACGTTGTCTCCTTTAACCCGTCTTTTTATGTTATTTTGAATTACACACGTACATATAAACGCAGTGGAACTTTTATTCAACTTTTCTAAACAATAGAAACCATTACAACAATACGTTATCAGATGTTTCCTGATTTCAAAGTCACAAAGTACGATATAGGTTGTATAGATCTATAGTACTGTGATATCACTGGTGTGTTATGTGATATCAACAGAATTAACCTTCGCTTTTCAACAGTCTGATATCCAGGCATTTCACCAGGAACGTCGAGAGCCAGCACGGACCCCGTGGCAAACATCCTCTCCGGTCTCCATTTCTCTCTCTCTCTCTCTC